GTCCTGATCCCAGAAGCTGAACTGCTTATCCTCCCGCTTATCCAGCTCCCGCGCGGGGATCTTGAACCCGCACGTCTCGTACGGCTCCGCCGCCACCAGCAGGTACTGGTAGTTGCGATCCGGCTCCTCCACCCGCTGCGTGAACGCGCTCATCACCTGCCACTTGGGCGTGATGCCCACCCCGATGTCCGGATACTGCAGCTGGAACAGCAGGCCCTGCTGCCGCGTAATCGGGTCGCGCACCTTGGTGATCTTGTACCCCGGCCGCCCAATCTTGACGACGTTGCGTCGCGGCCCGCCCGCGCCGAGGCCCAGCGCGGCGAAGCCGGCGCCGACGACGCCGATGGGGAGGCCGGTTTGCGGGTCGACTTCACCTTTGCCTTCCTTTTGCTCGCGCGCGGCGCGGCGCGCGAGGTTGGTCTGGTGCTTCTTGCCTTGGGTGTGGGCGAGGTAGGAGCCGTCGTTTTGGTGCACGGTCAGGCAGAGGCGGCACTCGAAGGAGCCGAGGTGGTTGCGGAAGATGTAGGGGTCCTTGTCGAGGTCGATGGTCTCGAGGGCGAGCTTGCGCAGGCGCTCGCGGCGGTCGGCGTTGGTGGCGCTGTGGGAGGCGACGCCGCCGCCGCCGAATTTGGAGCCGGCGCGGTTTTGGTAGTCCATTTTGAAGGGAGGGGGATCGCTTTGGTTCTGTGAGGGTTGTGGTTGTGAAGTGTGGTGGGAGGGTTTTCGATGTTGGGGTTGGAGGTGATGGGTTTCTGGTTTACCTTGCTGTCGAAAAGTTGGCGTGCAGTTGATCGCGACGACGCGGAATGCGGGTGCCAGCTGGTGGCGGCTTTGTCAGCTGGCTGCCGGCCTGGGGGCTTTCACTCCTAGCGCTGAACAACGGATAGCGTGAGTGAGATGTAATTTCTGGATTCTGCCCATTGGGTATTTATCTTGATATATTCCTCTATTTGGGAGTCTTATTTTGGGATTTGAAGAGTGCAACCACAAGCAGCTCATCCCTTCTTGCCGTTCACGCCGTCGTCTTCTGTCTTGCAGGGGTTTTGGCCCAGGCAGTGGGGCATCACCCCCGCGAACCGGTGCTGATCTGGGGCACGGTTGTTGATGTCAGTGTTCCGGCCGGCTTTCGGATCGGGACTCTCTGAACCAGAACAGTCGCTATCACGATTATCCGGCATTATGAACCGAACTCTGAGCGTGCCTCTCCGCCTCAGTAGGCGACGCTTTCCGCCTTCCTGGAGTCGGTGTCGGCGGTTCACGAGCGCTGCTGCGTCCCTGGCGGATGGATCTCTTCCCCTCGAAGGCTACCGGGTACTTGATATGACAAGAGTGCTTGCTGGGGTGAGGTGAAGGTGTCTTGGATTTGTGTTTGTCAACGGAGCTAACTCGAATCTCCATACAGCCTTACTGCACTCAAATTTTGGGAGATCTGGGGTGAGTCTATCTGATGCCCTCCTTCGATTCTCCTCGCTGAGTTTCGTGCTTCAAGTGCCGAAGTGATCAAAATCGAGCATCCGACCAGGGGAGATGATACTCGGGCGTGGGGCCCGCCGTATGCCAAATACAAGCCTGGTTCGTCTCAAGAGGGACCAGGCGAGTCTGCTTATTTTCTAGGGGTAATACCACGGGGTTTTCTCAATGACAAAGCGCGGCTCATCTGACGGAATACAGGTGAACAGGAACAAGAAGTCGCTGGCGCTGTCCTTCCAAGACCCGGCTGGCGTGGAAATTCTCCACAAGCTGGCAGCAAAGTGCGACATTCTTGTCGAGAACTACATCCCTGGTGCGCTTAAAAAGTATGGAATGGACTACGAGACCATCCACAAGATCAACCCATCGCTCATCTACGCCTCGATTACGGGCTACGGGCAAACGGGTCCGTATTCTCAAAGATCGGGCTACGATGTCATGGTGGAAGCAGAGTTTGGGCTCATGCATATCACTGGCAGCCGAGACGGTCCGCCCGTCAAAGTTGGTGTTGCCGTGACTGACCTGACAACCGGCTTGTACACCAGCAACGCCATCATGGCGGCCCTGCTCGGCCGTGCAAAGACTGGAAGGGGCCAGCATATCGACGCAGCCTTGAGCGACTGTCAAACAGCGACGCTTGCCAACATCGCTAGCAGCTGCTTGATCAGTGGCGAGAAGGATACTGGCCGATGGGGGACAGCGCATCGTGAGTGCCAGCCGCTTCTAACGGCTACCGGTGTGTTCTAACATACAGCAGCTTCCATCGTCCCATACAAGTCTTTTGAGACCAAGGACGGCGACATCCTGTTTGGCGGAGGGAACGACCGACTTTTCGGCATCTTGTGTGACGGACTTGGTCGGCCAGAGTGGAAGGAGGATCCCAAGTTCGTGGTGAATGCGCAGCGGGTGGCCCATCGTGACGAGCTGGAGCGAGAGATTGAGAAGGTCACCGTGACGAAGACGACGCAAGAGTGGCTTGATGTTTTCGAGGGGAAGGGAATGCCATATGCCGCTGTCAATGACGTGCTGACATCGCTGACGCAAGCGCACACGAAGGCCCGAAATATGGTTGTTGAGGTTGACCACGACGAGTGCGGGCCCATCAAGATGGTCAACTCGCCTGTCAAATATTCCGAGACGAAGCCCAGGGTTCGTAGACCACCGCCAATGCTGGGCCAGCATACTGATGAGGTTTTGCGGGAGCATTTGGGGCTAGATGATGGTGAAATACAGGCTTTGAGGGGTAAGGGCGTGGTTAGGTAGGTAGTCATGCTCAAGAGCCTCAGGTTCGCTGTCGTCCTGAGGAGCATCGAACGGGAAGGAGCCGCCAGGCATTTCCAGTCAACCTCAGGTCGAGAGTGGGTCCACTGGTTGTCATCCACAGTCGATCAGGGTTAGGGGACTTCACGTGATAGTCACGTGGAAATCTGGGGAAATGACAACCATCACCGAGAACCCCTGCTTTCCTTCCGTCCCGTCAAACAAAAGCCAGCTCTATCGACGACAGGCTGCGCATGAGTCTCCATCAAACATTGAGGCGTTATTCAGAAGTCAATTGGCGGTGTGGTTTCGCGAACAACGACAGCGCAATCGAATGACATTTCCATGAACAGCATTCCGCAACCAGCAGCAGCAGCACTCATGCAGCAACGTCTATGAGAGCAGCAACCTTGGGCGGTGACAGTTACCTGCGACTGGCTCCCAAACAACATCGAATTTTGACCTAGAGACCGGTAGATAACGCAAATTCCACCCGGCAGGAACACTTCAGTTCGCAGCTTCCATCACTCACTCGCTCACTTACAGCAACTCGAACATGACGGATCCAAACCCAGCCGCAGGCGCGGATGCGTCGGGAGATGCCGCAAAAGGAGGAGCACCCGGCCCGCTGCCCACCACCACGCCGAGCCCCGCTCCGATTGCGATTGCGACGCCCGGGGGCCCACCGTCGGCCTCCCCCGCTGCGAGCCGTCCGATGTACGTCCCGCAGTTCACTGCTGCCACGCAGCTGATCCTCAAGCGCATGAAGGGCGAGCCTAGTAGTCTCAGCTCCGCTCTATCAATTGCAACAGCGTCGATGACAGGCCCCATCAAGCCCTCGACCTATGAAGACGTGAAGAGACGTTTGGTCATGGGCATGAACACATCGGCTGCCATGACGATGCCGATGCCCACCGCCCCAGCGCCGCCGCCATCGCCAAGCCCCTTCACGATGGACTCGATTCCGATGCCACGGCCCAGCAGCACACAGCAGTCGGCAAAAGCCACCGGGAGCGCTATCCGCCGTATCTCCAGCGGATTGACGGCGTCGGGGAAGACCCCTGTGACGAAGGCAACGGCGACAAAGGCACCCGCGTCGGAGGCAAAAGCGAAGAAGCCTAAGGCCACTGCAGCACCCAAGGCCACCAGTCACAAACGAAAGCGTGGCAAAGGCCAAACAGGAGATGGCATGGACGATAGCAACTCCGACCTCTCCGACTTCCCAGAGAAGGAACCAACACCCCCGGACTTGACACCGGCTGCCCCGCTCACTATGACAAAGTCGGGCCGCCAGGTGCTGAAGCCCACAACATACAACCCAGCGGCCATGGATGCAGGTACTCGGAAGCGGACGCACTACGGTAAACGCACGACCGAGCAAGCTTTGTGCAAAAAGTGCACTCGCATGCAGAGCCCAGCCAGCAACCAGATGGTTTTCTGCGATGGCTGCAACGACGGCTGGCACCAGAGGTGCCACGACCCGTGGATCGAGGACGTGGTGATCCAGGACAGGAACCGAAGCTGGTACTGCGGTGCATGCGCCGAGAAGCAAGCTCGCAACCTTGCCAAGCGCCAAAAGGTTGAGGTCAAGATTCCGGTTGGCCCACCGCCTCGCGAGAGCTGGGCCTCCAAGACACCACAGCAGCGACGAGCGTATCTGATGTCTCTTCCGAGCCATGAGCTCGTGAATCTCATCACGATAGGCCTTGAGCTTCACCCCGATCTGCCCATCTTCCCGGGCACACCGACCGAGCCATCGAGTGCAAATTCAGCTCAGGGCCAACCTCGCTCACTATTTGCCGGCACGTCCATAGAGGGCCTTTTCCCGAGAGCCGACGCGAACCCTACGGGACAGATGAACTTCATTCGAAAGGCTCCGTCTTCTACAGGCTCTGTAAAGGGGCGTGGAAACGGAGGGAAGCACCAGAACAACCAGTCAGAGGATAACCAAGAGAAGGTGGAGGAAGGGGAAGAGGAGGATGATCCTCTTGCGGCTCTCTGGCCGCGGGCTGGCAGGGGACTGTACAGTCGGCTGCCGCCAGACACAGAAGACGCAGAGCGATTGGTGGACGATGATGACTACGAGTCATTCAGCGTTATCGTGTACGATGAACGAGGGAGGAAGGTGGAAGAGAACGGGATGAAGATTTGAGGTGGAGGGGGGTTGGCGTCTTGTGTTGAGCTTGCTGACATGCCTGGGCATGTGGTGTATTTGTACAACAGTACGAACAAACGAATAAACGGAGGCGTGGTGGCAAAAAGAAGGAATATGCCCAATAACAGGTTTGAACTGATGACTTTCGCATACAAGATACAAGAGAGGATTTCTGTATTAGTACGACACTCTAACCAACTGAGTTAATCAGGCATTTGGTAACTTCTTGAAGTCCCGCGTCCGAGGACCGGCTTGTCCATGCTGCGCTCGAGAGACATTTTCGGCGATGTGCTTTGTGTGGGTGTGTGGTGGAGTGCCGATTCAACGGCTGCCCCGAACCCCTTTTCAGGGTCCAGGAAGGTAGGTCGATGCGCGCGCTGTAAAGGTCGGTCCGATCTTTCAGCCGCCAATATGCCCATCATCACGACCCGGTCAGCGTTGCTCGTTGCTCGGTGTGGGCAATCCTAAAGGATGGTCCAATGACCGTTCCATGCGACTCAGATCTGACCAAGGTGTGACTCGGACCCTGCGGTGCCCCCCTTCCACAGCGATTCCACGGCTCGGGTGTGGCGCTCCGCCCTGCAGCCGCCACCGGCAGTCTAAAACCCGGGTGCGGACGACGCGGTGATTCCAGGAAACGCAGGTCATTCCGAACCGGTCACCGGGAAAGGCGACCGTGGAGAAGCGGGCTGAGCCCGTTGGGAATACCTGCGCACCACGCAACGCCTCCCCATCCTCCAAATCGTTGGAGCCGTTGGAGCGGGCGCAGCGTCAGCAAAAATGGATCGACTGGCGGCGATGGGGGCTTATTTCTGACACTGCTCTTCACAACCCGCTCGACGCTGTCACCCGCCAACTTCGGAATGTATCGGTTTTTTTTATTTTTCTTCCTCGTAACATCACACGCGACAACGCCGCTGCTGCTGTGAAGCCTCGGGTGGGTGGGGTGGTGTTCGTTCGCAATGGCGGAGCCGCTCGAAAATTGAGGCGTCGATGCTCACCACCGCACCACGGCAGCTGCGCCAAGGCCGCTGGAGCCGTCAAGCCAACATCGACTCCGCAGGCTAACGCCGGAAACGATCCTGCTAAATTGAATGAGCGCAGGGAAAAGCGAATTTTCGACTGCGCTACAGAGCCGTCTGGGACCGTTAACCGTGATGAGATAGTCGAGGCTAGACTGATAGATACATAGTTAAATGCCCCCCTCCTCTCTCCCCCCATCCGCGCTTTCCCTGACTCGAGTCTTGTGCAAACTTCAACACCACCACGCCAAGAATATCAGGAACTTCTAGATACCTATCGGGCCACACAACCCTCCGCTCGCCCCGTAATGGCCCGACAAAACGACGACATCGAAGACGAGTCCTCTCCCCTCCTCGCCAACCCTCCTTCAGGCGGCTTCAACTCCATCAACCCTCCCCCCGACAACAACAACACCACCACCCCCAGCCCCGATGACACCGCCGTCGTCTCCCCCATCCCCTCAACCCCCGCCCCGGTGAAGGACGAACCCGCAGCTACCCCGCCCACCGTCCGCATCCCCACGCCCACCCCCTCCAACGTCCCCGAAGCCGTCGTCAAAGCCGACATGGAAATGGCCTGGTCGGAGCCGGCCGGGCTGCGCATGCGCCGCGAGAACGATGAGAACCTCGTCATCTTCCGCCGCGCCGTCGGCATCAACAGCGAGCTGGACCACGCGACGGACTGCCGGTCGCTCGAGGAGGGGCGGCGCCGCGCCACGGGCATGTACGCGGCGACGCTGCGGGCGCAGCGGCAGAAGAGGGTGCTGTACACGCTTATTCAGGTGATGGTGTATACGTCGCATTTTTTGCAGATTATTGTTGGTGCTAGTTTGACGGCGTTGTGAGTATTTTTCTTTGTTGGGTTAAGTTGAGTAAAAGGGGGAGGCTAACGGTGTCTAGGGGGCCTTCGGCGGGTGAGCATACCGTGACGATTACGGTTCTCGGTGCGCTGAATACGGTTGTGGCGGGCGTGTTGGCGCTGGTGAAGGGGCAGGGCCTGCCGGAGCGGTTACGGCAGGATCAGGCAGAGTTTAGGAAGCTGCAGGACTGGATTGAGCAAACCGAGGCGTTGCTGGCGGTGGGGGTCATTGGCAAGGACCGGAAGGAGGTTGGGCTGCTGGTGCAGATTGCGTTTGTCAAGTATAATGCTGTCAAGGCGTCGGAGGAGAATAACGTGCCGGAGAATTATGTGCGAGCTGCTGATGATGACAACAGGGTTGCGGGGAGGTAGAAGGGGAGGAGTGTTGGATTTGGTTTTGGATTGCGGCGAAGATATCCCACTGATAATTGCTAGTTATATAATTTATAATTTTTACTCTTGTTCACTCGCCGCTTTGCCGACGATCCATCAAGTGATGTGATGCCCAAACACCTTGTCCCCTTTTCTTCCCACCTCGAGAAGTCAACGCCCTCCTCCCACCTCTCACTCATCCCCCCTCCACTTCTTCCCCTTCCCACAGCCAGCAACAGGAATGTTGTCAGTCACCCCCTTAATCTCATTCATAGTCCACCCTGTAACAAGTGTCAGCATGATCTCCCCATCAATACACCCTTTTTCCACGTCAATCCCTCCCTATCCCTACCCATCCGTTCCAAGCAACCCCCTCGCCAACCACCCAAAGCCCCAATAGCCAAACCAACAGAAACGAAAGAAAGAAAAAAACACTCACAATGATCCCCCTCCCCCCCAGCCAACACCCCTCCCCACCCCTCCCTCGGAACACCCACCCCATCCACATCCGCCCCCTCCCCCCAGAGATACAGCGGATCTACCGTCCCCAGCGTAAACGCCACATAATCACCCCCCTTGGGCTTCCAGTAGATCAAGCTCCCGCAGTTCGTGCAGAAGCCGCGCTGGGCGGCGGGGGAGGCCTCGAAGTCCTTGAGGGTGGAGGTGGTGCTGGTGAAGCGGAAGGTGTGCAGGGGTTTGGCGACGTGGGAGGCGAGGAAGAAGGAGGAGGTTTGTTTGCGGCATTGGGTGCATTGGCAGGTTGAGAACTGGTGGTGGTTAGTTGGTGGTGGGGATGAGAGGGGTGAGGGGTAGGGAGTAGTGGAAAGGGGTGGTGAAAAGGGGTGGTGGAAAGGGGTTGGGTTGGGTGAGGGGAGGGAGGGAGACATACAGAGGATTTGAAGTCGTGATCCTTGGAGAAGTCGACTTCGTAGCGGAGGGCGCCGCAGAGGCAGCCGCCCTTGATGTGAGTAGGAGTGGAAAGGTTGGTGCTGGAAGCCATTGCTGAGGTTGCTGTTCACTTGAGATGGTGATGCTGGACGGGGCCGGGAAGGGGCCATTTATGCTTTTGGGGGGGAGGATTCCTTGATTGTCGTCGATCTGCCGCGTGTAAAGCGCGCGCCCTTCAGCATCGACTGCCGTCGCGCCCTTCGTGGTTGTGCCGCGATCTTCGCGCGGGGTCACATGTCGCACTTACATCACCTTGCAGGGGTAAGAAGGGGCTGCTTGGCTTATTGCACTAACAGACATACCGCTTGAGTGCTTGCTATCCTGTTAGCACAGCATCGGCACCACACGCATAGCAATCGATACATCCCTCTGCACGCTGCCCTCTTCTTATGGATTCTCACTGTTCTGCTCAGCAATAAGCTCGCTCGATCAGATCCTAAGCACCAGTCGTCTCATCAACCGGCTTGAAGCGATCCCGCTTATGCATCGCCTTGAGCTCCTCCCTCTCCTCCTTGGTGAACAGCCCATCCCCGCTGCTCTCCCCCAGCTTCCCCCGGTTGACATACTCCCCCTTCAGCCACTCCACGCCATGGCGCTTGCCCAGCTCGGGCTGCGTCTCGAGCGAGTGCATCTCCACCTTGGCCACCGTGTCCAGCCCGACCTCGTCCATGCGCTCGCAGGGGCCCTTCTCGGCGTGGAAGAAGTCGCGGAACAGGGCATCCACGTCCTTCGGCTTCGCTACCCCTTCAGAAAGCACCGCCAGCGTCTCGCGCTTTGCGGCCCCCCATATGCGGTTGAAGATGAAGCCGGGCGACTGGATCCCGATGGGCACCCTGATGGGCTTCAGACCGACGTTCACCATCTGGTCCTCGAGGAAGGGGAAGATCTCGGGATGCGTGTACGTGCTCGACATGAGCTCAACCATGCGGTTGCGCGGCGGGACGAAGTAATGCGTGTTGAGTAGCCGCTCCGGGTGCTGCATGTGTGGCGCGAGCTCGGCGGTCTGCAGGCTGCTGCTCGAGGAGGCGAGGATGCAGTTCCCCGGCAGGAAGTCCTCGACGTGGGAGAGCACCGAGATCTTGGTGTCCAGCACGTCGGGCAGGCAGTCGATGGCCATCCAGGGGCCCTTGGAGCCCGAGTGCAGCTCGATGTCGGCGACTTCGCTTTCGCCCTTTGTGCCTTCCCAGCGGCCGGTCGTGGTGGCTACACGGATGTTGTCGGTGACGTGGACGTGGCCCGGTGCCGTTTCGCGGAGCGCGCAGTACGCGCCGAGGTTGTCGGTGATCCACTCGATGGCGGAGCGGAGGGCGTCGGGGGATGTGTCGTAGAGGGTGACGGGGCGGACGGCGGAGGCCCACATTAGGGCGATTCGACGGCCGTGGTTGCCGGCGCCGATGACCAACACTGGACGTTCATTGAGGCACTGTTCGCTTGGTGGTCTCCATTGTGACGGAGCTGGAGATGCTTTTTTCGGGCTGGCGGTCGCGCAAAACCGACAGACGTTGCTCGTAGAGAGGGGGCGGGAAGCAGCGCGGTTCGGTCGAAACAACGGTACCGAATGGAGGCTAGTTGCTGGCCTGGCCCGCGGCCTGGCGACTGTTTGTATGTGGAGTTTGGGTATCGAGCGTGACGTCGAGATGCTACCCGGACGCAGAGGGCCCCTCAATAGCTTCGAGGCCAGCGCAGGAGATCCGGCCATGGTATCGAAGAGATGCGCGCCAAAGGTACCGACGAGAGTTCGATATTTTCCTGCTCCGAAAGTAGAGGCCCAGTGCAGTCAAGTGCTGCAGAGGTGTATGCAGCAAATTGGTGTGTTTGGGGAAATTTGCTGCAAATACGCAGAGATGACGTGTGGGTTGCTCTTCCACCAAGGCTCGTGGGACATACCAGGCAATGTATACCTTTTCCAAACAAGCTTTTCTCATCTTATCAGCGCCAGCCGTTTTCGCCGTTCAGTTGCCGTTGAGTTTGGCAGATAGGCGGCGTGGGCGGATACATGCAGTTGAACCTAA